TACACTGGCAACGCTGAAGTAACCGATTTGACAAGTGTTAACCGCCCTGCAAATGACAACATCTTTCTCTTCCAACCAGCCAGCTTGCTTTTGACTTTCTCCACCACTGGTTTCCATGTAGCTTTCATCCTTGGATTAGCACCTAATGGCATCCCAAGGTACTTTAGGGGTAATGTCTTAGTTTTACAGTTCAACACTGCAGCACAGCTATCTAACAGCTCCTTGGAAACACCCACACCGCATACTACGCTCTTGTGAAAGTTTATTTTAAGTCCCGACATAATTTCAAAACACCTAAGCACCCTTTTCAACTTCCTCACTTCCTCCACTTGAGCTTCACAGAACAGTAATGTATCATCTGCAAACTGGAGATGCGTTAACAGGACACCGTTGTGGCCTACCTTAACACCTTTAATTAAATCTAACTGGGACGCACGGCTTAACAGCTTATGAAGACCTTCAGCCGCAAGATTAAACAAAAGAGGGGATAAAGGATCCCCTTGTCTCAAACCTCTTTGTGGGCTAAACTCCTCCGTCGGAGATCCATTAACAAGCACCGAAAGCCTTACAGTTGTTACACACTCCTTAATCCACTTAATCCACTTCTCACCAAACCCAAAATTAGATAACATTGTCAATAAAAAACCCCAATTAATTGAATCAAAAGCCTTCTCAAAGTCTAACTGAATAAGTAACCCCTTCTTTTTGGCTTTCTTCCATCCGTCTACAACTTCATTAGCTATTAACACGCCATCTAAGATATTCCTCCCACTCAGAAACGCAGATTGGGATTCACTAATGATATGGGGCAAGACAGATTTTAGTCTATTGGCCAACAATTTTGCTAAGATCTTGTAAATAGAGCTCACCAAACTTATAGGTCTATAATCCGATAGCCCTATTGGATTCTCTTTCTTAGGGATAAGGGTTATGAATGAACTATTAATACCCTTTACCAACTTCCCATTGGTTTGAAATTCTTTGACAAACTGGACCACATCACCCTTCATGATTTTCCAGAACTTCTGATAGCATAACAAATTAAACCCATCCGGACCCGGAGCCTTATTCCTATCACAATCCATCACTGCTGATTTAATTTCTGCTACTGAAAAGTCTGATTCTAACCATCCAGACCTCCCCCTTCCTATCACTGTAGAGAAGCAACCCCCCAACACAGGTCTTGATGACCAATCCTCAGTGTACTGTTTTTTAAAATGATCAAATACCTTGCGCTTCACTGAACCCGGATCTTCCACCATCACCTCCCCATCTAGTATAGAATTTATTTCATTTCTAACAGTTCTACCTTTTGCAACCACATGGAAGTATCTTGTATTCTTATCCCCTTTCATTGCCCAGGTAAGTCTTGACTTTTGTAACCATAACCACTCCACCATCCTGCTCAACCTCCACATCTCAATTCTGACTTCACTTCTCCTAGCTTTTTCTGCACCATCAAGTTCTCTATCTTCGGCCAAGATATCAAAATTATGGAGTTCATCCTCTGCTGCCTTCAGTTTATTTTGTACATTGCCAAAGACCTCCACATTCCAACTTCTGAGGCTACCTTTCAATCTCTTCATTTTTTGAAACAGAATAAAACCAGCCCAGCCTACGACACTGGGCTCTTTCCAACTCAACTCCCAGAACTTCCGAAAATCTTTGTGTAAAAACCAAGCATTTAATACCCTAGGGTTTTGGACCCCAATCTCTCTCGTCCTCCATCAGCAGAAGTGGACAGTGATCAGAGACCAGTCTAGGAAGACCCCACAGCTTAAAGTTAAATACCTCAATCCATTTTGGGTCTACAAAAATTCTATCTATTCTGCTTCATTTCTCACCAAGACTAGAATTGCACCAAGTGAACCTCCTCCCAAGTAATGGTAATTCAGATACCTCACACTTGTCAATAAATTCATTAAAATCTTTCATTCCTCTATCTCTCCTCGAACATCCTTTTCTTTTCCCAATCTGCCTGATCTCATTAAAATCCCCTCCTAAAAACCATGGATTAAGAAATTCCTCCTTCAGCTTCAACAAACACTTCCACAGATTCCCTCTAGAGCCCACATCATTAGGAGCATAGATGTTCAGAATAGCACAATGAAAATGGTTAAAAAGAGTACCTGATAATAATATAAACCGTCTGCTGCTGCAACAGTCCTTAAGTTGGAATATATCAGGATCCCAAATACACAACAAACCCCCTGCAGAGCCATCAGCATCCACCCCCATATACTCCATTTTTCCCCTTACCCAAACTGTTCTGACGTCTTCCTCAGTTAACTCTGATTTCTTTGTCTCTTGAAACAGGGCAATATCTACTTGTCTCTCCATTACAATCTTCTTAATTTTGCTTCTCTTCGCCTTCCTCCCCAACCCCCTAACATTTCATGAGGTTAAAGAGAGTACCTAATAATAATATAAACCGTCTGCTGCTGCAACAGTCCTTAAGTTGGAATATATCAGGATCCCAAATACACAACAAACCCCTTGCAGAGCCATCAGCATCCACCCCTATATACTCCATTTTTCCCCTTACCCAAACTGTTCTGACGTCTTCCTCAGTTAACTCTGATTTCTTTGTCTCTTGAAACAGGGCAATATCTACTTGTCTCTCCATTACAATCTTCTTAATTTTGCTTCTCTTCGCCTTCCTCCCCAACCCCCTAACATTTCATGAGAAAATCTTCATAAGAACATCATTACTCCACCAAAGTCCCCCTAGCTGGTGCACCTACTCCCCAACTCTCTCCCCCCTGCAATTCGGTCCATATCCTTCAACTCAAGGTCCACTATTTTTTCCAACACTTCAGCCCTCTTCCCATTCAGCTTCACCCCAAGGAGTTCCCCCAATTTAAGTGTTGCTTCAGCCTCGTTAAGGACGATCCTTCCTCTATCCATACCACCCTCTATAGATGCAGATAAGGACGATCCCGCCACTGCTGCTCGCCAATCTGCTGCCTTGGGCCGTGCCGAGCTTGTTGCCGCTCCTCTGCTCCCGTATCTTCTCATAAGATCGGTTGACCTTCTTCGTGTTAAATTCGGATTATATTTCTTAATACTTTTGATCCTCTGTTTCCCTTTTTTATTACTTCGTAGACTGCAACTGGGTTCCTTATCTTGAGCTTCTGAAAGACTTGATAGCCTCCCAGCTGGCCCATCTTCTCTTGCCTTGTTACTACTAGAATTTCCTTTCTGCCCCAGCCCACACCGTGGTAAGCAAAGCCCATTCCCCTTATTTGGTGAATTAAACTGGCCCAACATAACTTCAATATTTACCCCAGGCCCTTCTAAACTAGGTATATCTAGACTTCTAACAAAACCTTGCATACTGACCAGATCTTCCTTGCTCTGGCTAACTACCGTCTCCTCCGAAGAGCCGTTCCTCTGATTTCGCACATCCATCATTGCGCCACAGACATCAGCAGCCTCTATGTTAACCCTTACACTTCTACCAGCTATATCTTCCTCTACACTCCACCGACCTTCCACGTTGTCCACCTCCTCGCTCCGATTTTTGCCATTTGGCCTACCTACGTGGACCACATCGCACCCATCCGCCATATCATCTGTTGAATCATCCTCCACATCAGCATCTTCATCTTCCACCTTCCTGGTATGATCTTCCATGACATTCGAACTGCCGATCTCCACCACATGTTGAACCTTATGACATTGGCAAGGACATTTTCCTGATTTGAGATGGATCACTTGCTCTTCATACACCCTCACTGGAAACACCCTCCCCCTGCATTCTAAATTTACAACCGAATTTATAGATTCCATGCTTTTGGTAGAAATCTTCACCTTTGCACACACAAATGTCACTGGTTGACTCGTATCTCCTTCAAGACATAACACTTGCCCCCACACCTCACCTATCTTTCTTATATTGTAACTATTCCACAAATGCAATGGGATGCCATAGCAACTGAGCCATACACTTCTTTCCTGCTCCAAAACCTGCCCAGGTTTTCCTTCAGACATTTCTTCACACCAATCAACAATCAGCTCCTTAATAGCTGGAAATTTCGATGCCCTCTCCTCCTTTGAGTTGAATGTTATAACAACATCCCTTCCCCCACTATCTCTTACCATTACATCCTCTACTCCTATCGCTGCTATCTCTTTCTTCAGACTAATATTAGCATATGGAACCTTCAATCTGATTATTATACTCTCAAACAACCAACCATTCCCTATCTCTTCTGCCTTCACCAGGATACCCTGTCCTCCTTCTCCCCTTTTGCCGGCCACTGCGTCTACATATGACCTTCTATCTCTAATACCACTACACCCAATTGGAACATCTCTCCCTTTATCAGCATAGACTATTGATCCCCGAGCTTGGTTACGTCGTGGCTTCTTTTCAACTTCGCCCCTATCCGTAACCTTCCCATACTCTGCATGTTTTACCTGTAAGGTTCGATCATCCACCCATAACCCATGTGCTTTCTGAACAGCTATATTAGCTGCCACAGAACACCCATACCTCACAAATCCAAACCTTGTGTTAGTCATCCTGCGCCTCTTTTGTGGTATAAAGACGTCAGTTACCACTCCAAACTTTGCAAATAAATTATATAGGCCTTTCGGGTTCAGCGATGCTGGCAAGTTATCCACGAACACATTGAAGACACCCACACTTCCTTCCATCCTCCACGGTCCTGATCTGCCCCTATCTCTAACAACCGGTATCCACCCTCCTTTTCCTTTTCCTTTTCCTTGATCAGCCATCAGATTCATTCAGCATTTCTTAGATGTTGTAGTTGTCGAATATTACATACTATATACTTACATTATTGAATATATCTGCTACAACTTAGCTTGCTAAGTTTACTTTCATTGATGTATTTTGGATTCTACTGTTTGTGCTTTCCAATTTTATCAATAAAGTTTCTTTAGCCGAAAAAAAGAAAGAAAAAGAAGATATAATACAGAAAAATGAAGGAAAATTATGTTCAAGGCATAGTAGTAAATAACCAAGTATGGCATTAATTATTATTTAGTACAACAAAAGAGAAAATATACCTTAAAAACACAACAACAAGTACTTCTCATCATACCTCTGCACATTAAAATAGACGTTCATAGTTAAGTAGGCCTAATCTCATTCCCTACAAAAGCAAAAACAGCTACTACTTATAGCCATGATATTATTGTATTTTGGAGCTAGCTCGGGGGCTTTATTAACTTTCTGATCCTATACAAATATAGCTTTAGCATTTTTGAGCAATTGGACTAGCTTGCCCCGGATATGGAGGCTCATGACCTCATTAGAACCGCCAACCAACTCCCCCCCTATGAACATAGCCGGTATGCTTGGTCGACAACCTAATGACAACAATTCTCTTTCCAGTTGTCGTCCATTTGGAAGTTCATCAAGTTCGTAAATAGCAGGACTTGCTCCAAAACCGTATATCAGTGTCTGGATGGTGTGACAAATGCAACAACTGCTTTTGCTGAAGATCACCACCGAATTTTCAGCCCCCAAAGCCGACACCATGGCCATTGTTGGGAAGATGTTGGATGAATGATGGTTGAAGAATGCTTGTAGTGAAGTGAAGTGAGAGTTGAGAATTGTCTGTGAAGAACTTGAATTGTGACGGAAGTTATATATAGAGAGAGGCCTAAGGTGGTGGGAAAAAAAAATATTCGAAAAGATTGTTGATTAATATTTTCGAAAACACCATTTATCATTACATGGAGAGTGACTTCATATGTCTCTCCATCTTTATGTATGTGCATGGAATGGAATAGCAAGTTGCACATGAAGAAGATCTTTCTAATATGCTAAACGTGATCATCATGCAAGGGTTTTAATTACATTAATTTGGTATCTAGAAACAATAAAATTGTGAACCCAGAATTTTACCCCGACAAAATATGTATGGTCAAGATTTAACTTGTGTATTGTGAGTCTTTATATAAAATGAATTTATTGATGATTTTGGACAAATTTAGGAGTAAAAGTTCTGAGTTTGTAGCATGACTTAGCTAGAAAGTGGGCACTTGCATTATTTATCTTAAAACTTTCCTCTCTTTTATTTTATTTTTCTTCTGTCTCAAAATATTTTTAGTCATTAAATTATGTTCTGAGAATTTTATATCTTGAAATTCGTAAGTAAGATTGTGAACGCATTAGAACAAATGACAGATATTTGACAACATAAGATCTTTAGCTCCCCCAAAAAAAGCACCTCTGCAACAATTAATAGAATGATCATGATAGAAATAGCAGAAGACATTTAACTCAGTTCAGAAATACTGGTAGAAAAATATTATATATAATTACATTTTTAATAAGATTTTTTTTTTTTTAATGATACAAAAGTAGTGTGTAGACTTGTATTTATTAATATGGATCCGTTTGTCTTGTGTCTATTGCTATAAAAACAAATAATAATTCTCATAAGTTTACAATTCATATGATCCTCATTTCAAAATATTCACAATTAATAAATTATTAAAATTTTTAAAATATGATAATCTCAAAACGTAATTTGTGTGGAGACACTGTAAGACTTCATGGAAGAATCAATTTTGGAGCACTTGGTGAGGTGGACAAAGATGTTGGGTTATCCAATTAAGGTACCCTTTTCTCTTCCTCCATGGAAAGATTCGCATGAGTTCAATTCAAGAAAACCGAAAGCTAATACAATGACGAAGAAAGGAGAAATTTAAAATTATATATATATATGCTTAAGCTCTATTCTCTTGCATTAAAATAAATAAATAAATAAAAATAAAAATAAAAATAAAAAAGAAGACAGTGCACGAACTTCTCATAGATGAATACAGACTTATGTCACATACAAAAAAAATAAAAATAAAAAGGTAAAATCCATGGGGGCTCCACCAAATTATGCATTTCTTGACGCACTAATTGGGAAAAAAATGCCTCTAAGATATTCTTGGCATAAAATCACAGGATTAGTTGGATAATTATTTACTAATTCCGAAATATAGATACGTGATATTCCATAACATTGTGACTAACATTGTGACTGGTGGAGAAAGTGGACAAGTGGGGTATTGTGTTGGTAATTAGGGAACATGAGGGGCATCTTGAATAATGATTGGTGAAGGAATACAGACACGTGGTACTCCGGGAACATTGAATAATTTCCCGAATTAGTGTACAATGTGAGAGAATCCCATTACATTTTCTTTGTTATTTTTATCTTATCATATGATGTGAATTTTTATTATATTTTATTTTATTTTTGTCAAATGGTCGATTATGCAGTCAGTTGGGTCATATACCTAATAATAGTTGATCTTATAAAAACATTTGAGTGTGCTAGTGAGATTATTAATAAATAATGTGTTAATATCCCTAACATTGCTGATAGTAAATGGTGCAGTGTCTCTCACAAGTATTCTTTCTTTTTGGGCGATTAATTAAGATCCTTTACTACTTTGAAGACTTCAAACTAATAATAAAAATTTCTCAGATGGGAAGTTGGTGTAACTTTCTTCAATATAAAGAATCCTCAAGGCAACTTCTCTTTTAGATTAGCATATTACAAAGCCACAAACAAAAATGACCATGTGTGCCAACTATTAGGTTATTTATTTCATTAATTAAGATTTATCAAAAGCCCTAATTATATTTAAAAGCTCTGAAAAATAATGTCTTAATTAATATTTAGTCAGATTCTCATATATAAAAAGTTAGATTATTATTGTGTTGACCGTAACTTTGATAATAAATGTATTAGTATCTTTAACATTGTTATAAATATAAATACATTTTTATGGTAAAATGGAGTATCATTTGACGTGTTCACCATAACATTGATTTAATTGACCCACACTTTTCATCTCTTACTATTGCTATGGTGAGTATTTAATTTTGGAAAAGACTATGATATACGCCTTTGAGAGTGTATATCATACACACTTTATAATTTTATATTTTTTGAGTCATAATTTAAAAAAAAAAAAATCTTAACTAAACAACACATGAAGCATAATCAAATATTTCATGAATCGTAACTAAAATAACGTCATAATTAAAGAAGAAAATTGTTTATAACTAAATAAAAAAAAATAGCATAACTTAAGGGTGTATATGGTATGGGATGTATATAGTAGAATTTCCTTTTATCTTTTGATTTTTAAAAATTATTGCCATAGTATTTGTGACGTTTTAATATATATATATATATATACTGAAAATTAGAAATGTTATGAATTATGAAAAATTATTTTGAATATTATCTCAAAAAAAAAATTTTATGGTGTAGATTTAAAGTCAGGAGATTTGAGGTCACTCCACTACAACAAATTAAGGCTTTTAGAAACAACATTATTTTTTTAGAGATAAAATCACTTTATTACTAAAAGTATATTTATTAACGACATTTTTTAAATTGTTACTACAAGCCTTTGAGACCATATATGGTCCTTTAATTAGGAGAAAAAAAGAAACTTGGTTCTAAACCACTTTGTAGTGCACCTAAATGATTGTGATCTAGTATGTGTAAGTAGCATATTGTTGATTTGAAATTGGTTAGATGGGATGTTGTGAACTCTCCTTTCACAGTCAAAAGTTCATCAACCCTTTCGGTAAAGAACAATGATTGGAAAATCACATTTATTTATCATATTTATTTATTTATTAATTCATATATCAATACTTTACTAATTCAAGATTTGCAACATCACCACCATATTGATGTCAGCACATAGGGTCACTCTACTTAATTATAAAAGTTTGATTTACTTATTCCTTTAATAAAATATAAATAAAAATACTATCTTTAGGAAGAAACCCATCAATTTCCACATTTCTTTTTTCAGAAACTTGATGATCAGGCATGCAATTCGATCGAATCTTTTGTGGTGAAAGCTATGACCTCTTTATATTATGGAGATAAAGCAGAGACGGAATTAATACTTTATCATCACAGCGGTCAAAATATGTTTTTTCACTATATAAACAAACACATGTGTATATATAATACGATATATAAATTATATAAATATATAAAAAAATTTAAATATAATAAAACAATCTCTAATAAGATGAAGAAATTTTTTGATAAAAAATAAAAATGGAATGCAAGATGTAAGAAAAATAAGATATATATTTTTTATACTAAGAGGTCACTTTATATATGAAACAAAATATACATATTTAGAACTGCTATAACAAATATAATTTTTTACAAAAACAAAGGACCATAACTTATCATAATTTTCTCCTAATTTCATCCATGGAGATAAGTGTCCAAGCATTTGCAACCTTTGACGGAGAGATAGAGCGAGAGTAAAAAGGGTCTCAAGAATTGAGATTGTCAACTTTGGAGGCCAAATTCAAGCAAATATAAAGTACAAAATGCTTAACCAAAAAAAAAAAAAAAGTACAAAATGCAAGGTCAGATCTTGGCACCACACACCATTGTCTTGGATTTTTGTTCCCCATCAAAAGCTTTCGGCAAATTGTTTTACTTGTTATTCTCTCTTTAAAAAATAAAAAATTATGGTGACTTGAAAAATATTACCTTATTAATAATGGGCTCAGTTTAAACAAGGAAGTTTACAAGTAAATATCATATCATCGTAACGGACTCAATTTTTAGAAAATTAAAATTTCTAAACTTGTCAAACTCAAGTTTTAACTATACCAATGTGAAGTATTCATCGAGATAAGTCTAAGGCCACAAACAACATCAAAATCAGAATTAAAACGAAATCATAGGATCAAAGTTTGCTCAGAAAGTACACTGTTTAGCTAGAGAAGTCAACCCAGCGAGCCAAGAAAGAAATTATCATGTGCTTCGCGATTGAATTATACCTTACTGATCTGAGCTTTTAGCTCCATTTTGAGTAAAACTACGTTATCAAGAGTCTGATTTCAACGATCCAATAGTTATTTCCAATTATTTGAAACATTCTGAACACATCCGTACGGTGTAATTTTGCAAATTCTATATCAAAAATTTATAGATTTTATATGCCCTGTCATATATCCTTCGCAGCTCAAACAACACATTTGCCGCCACACCTGAAGTTTGATCAATGCTAAATTCCACAATTTTGGCATCTTCCCGCCTATATAACAACCCACATCATTTGACAATTTTGGCTCAAGTCTATTTTGACTTCCTTCCGAATAACAACTCTCCTTCGCCAGCAATAGGGCAAGGAATCTACGTCAACAATTTGTTTTCAGTTTACTCCTCGGGAATGTTAGTCAATGTCCTATCTGAATTCCTTTCGCCTAACAACTGTCATTCAACAGCCATGGGGCAAGTTGAACAAAAAACCAACTTAACTAAATCGGCAATCTGTTTCAATCTGCTTCCAAAAACTATTCAGCAATACCTTACAATGGAGCGATGCTATTTTTTAATGCTCTACTATTGGTGCCAGTTTTTCAGCTTTCCACTTATTTGTGCTTAACAAGTCTACATCATTTGGTATAAGCAATCAATGACACAAGATACACTATTCAAAATCCTTGCAATATTGGCAACTATTCGCCACTTAAAATCAACGACAGTCTCCGAATACAAAACAATCTTCGCATTCGGAGCAAAACATACATATAGTAATTGTGGCATCCTTAGTGTAGCCCTCGCCTAGGGATTATAATACCGCAGCCTACGGTCCTCGCCCGAGGGTTATAATACCGCAGCCTACGGCCCTCGCCAGACATACATTTATACATACATTCAAGCATACATGCATTCATACAGTCATTCATTCATTCATTCATTTTATTCATTTATAAAATGTTCTTTATCCATAAACCTAATATCTTTTTGAACAGCGTAGTTCGGCAATAAAAACTCTCATTCTTTCTACTGAAGACAATAAAAGTTTTGGAGCAATTGTGGTGGCCCAAAAAAAATACTACCTTATTAACAATGGACGTAGCCCAAACAAGGAAGCCCATCAAGTAAATATCACACCCCTATCTATAAAAGGAGAACATCCCATGGAATGAAAGTATGCCTCATATCTTTACACCGCACAGCACTCTCACTCTCTTTAGTTGATCATCTTCTCTATTTGATTGAAGTTGCAAACTTTATCACAGGAGTGTCTCCGGCCGGCAACCTCAGTTAGGTGGTGCCGACCATGCTTATCTTTGCAGATTTACAGGGCAAAGCTCGTCTCTTCATTAGATCTTTACAATCCGTATAAGAGGATTTATTAGGTCTCACAAAAATAAAAAAAAAAATAAATTTCTACAAGATCCTCAATCCCCATTCTCTCATTTCTCCATTCTCAGACTCTCTTCTTACATTTCACACAAAATCAATGTCGGAAAAATTGATCATGTGGCAGAAATGATATTCCGACGAGGCTGCAGGCATACATTTTAATGTCCACTGAAATATGAAAAATCATTGAAAAAAAAATCGTATACATACATATATTTATTTGTGCAAAATCGACCCATTAACTTAAAAACATTGGACCCCGTTTCGAGGCCTCTTTTGACAACTAAATTAAAAGTCAGTTTATTAATTTTTTGATTTATTTAAGTTATATCAGCTCTTTATTTTTTTTGCATGATTTTTCAAAGAAAGTCAAAAAACTGACTTTTAATCTACTTTTCAAAATAGGCTAATTGAACTTTTAAAAAAAATTCTAGCTTGGTACTTAACTGGATTGAATATGACGTGCTACATATCTAGCATGATCATTCTATTAATTGTTGCAAAGTTGCATTTTGAAAGCTAAGATCTTGCGTCTTAAAATCTTTTTATTTTTTTGTTTCAAAAATACTTACAATTATTAAATCATATGAAAATCTTAATATAGGAAAATCTCAAGATATAACTAAATGATTATAAGTACTTAGAAACAAGGGAACAGACACATTTAAGACACAATTTAAGTGTCAACTATTTAGATGCCAAATTAGCATGTAATATATATATATATATATATATATGCTACGTCAGTGTTAAATGGTGTCATTTGAGAATGTAGAACCATTGCAGGATGATCACGTTTAGCATATCTATTAAGGATCCTTTTTGATGTGCAACTTGCTATTCCATGTACATAAATAGAGACATGAGGTCACTCAATTAATCATAAATGGCTTACTGTTTTAGAAAATATTAATAATTAATGAACTATCTATCTTTTCGAATATATTTCCCACAACCTTATCTCTCTATATATAACTTCCCATCAGACCTCAAGTTCTTTACAGCCAAATCTCAACTCTCTCTTCCCTACAAACATTCTTCAACCAATAATCATCCAACTTCTTCCCAATAACGGCAACTGTGTCGGTTTTGGGAGCTTAATGCAAAAGTGGTTGTTGCATTTGTCTCACAATCAAGGCCCTAATATATGGTTTTGGGACGAGTCCTACTATCTATGAGCTTGATGACCTTCCTTATGGATGACAACTGGAAAGGGAGTTGTTGTCATTAGGCTGTTGACTGAGTGTTCCGGTTGTGTTCATAGGGGGAGAGTTTGTCGGTGGTTCTAACGAGATCATGAGCCTCCATATCCGAGGCAAGCTAGTCCAATTGCTCAAAAATGCTGAAGCTATATTTATATATGGATGCCAAACTAATTTCTATTTTTGGTTTTGTAGTGAATGAGAATAGGCTTTGTTTAGCTATAGTTTTAACACCTCAAGCCTCTCTTTTGTGTGGAGAGGTTTGATGAGAAGTATTTCTTGTGTTTTTAAGGTGTATTTTTCTTTTTTGTTGTACTAAATCATTAATGTCATACTTAGGTCATTTATAACCGATATGTTACATTAATCTATCAGCAGACACAAAGAATGGGAATTTGAATCGAAGTTAGCAATCTTAAGGGTCGAGATGCACAATGCAACCAAACAACAGGACCTGATTAAATCAACTAGATCCTGCATATTTGCTTTAACCCTTCTGAAGACAACGGCATTGCGTTTGAGCCATAACGGCCACAATGTGTTTGGTAGAACTTTGAAGTTGTGTGGTAGAACTTTGAAATTGTGATTCCACACGTTTGAATAATGTGTTTGATTAGAATTTTTAAAAATTGATTCCATATCCACTTTTAAAAACACGTCTATCCGGTCATTCTCTCAGACGTCCGTCCGGTTGACCAGAACAATATTTTTTGTTGTTGCTGTTGTCGTCTTTTTTTCTTTCTTTTTTTTGTAGCAGTTTACACCTGTTACTTTTATATTTTAAATAAAAAATATTTTTGAAATTTTTTTAAATTTTCATGAGTTTTAAACAGAATTTTGAATTGTGTGTTTAATCATGAATAGTAAGTTTTTGAATCAAACACTTTTCTAATTTCAAAAATTCAAAGTTCTTTTCAAAATACATAACCAAACAAATTTTTTCTTTCAAATCATAATTCCAAAACTCACAAACTCAAAATATAATTCTATTATTAAATCATAATTCTAAAACTCTACCAAACGCTATCAAAATTTGCCAAAGATTGTAAATTGCAAAGACAAACCCAAATCATTCCCACCACCTCACAATTTCAGACCACACATTCCATGAAAAATTGGACCACAACAGTAGATGACACACATATGGTTATAATTATCGTTTATTTGTTTAAAAGATATATACGTAGAAATCAAAATTACGAACAAACCAAATTGTTAAAATAGAATCCACAATGGACCCACCAACGGTGAACTGGACAGTCAACTTCATCAAGCTCATAATATGCCAAGAAGATCTAGATGCCCATTGTCCACGTCCCCCCATCGGAATATATACCACAACACAACATAACACTGAAAATAGTTCATCCCTCGTAGCAGATTATGATATATATATATATATATATATATGAGATTTAGAGAATAAATGAGAGAATTTGGAGGGAAAAGATGTGTGTTAAAAGCATAGTTTTTGAGGAATTAAAGATGAGTCACTATTGTCTTGTAAATCATTTGTCTTCTTCACACAACTTTGTTTAACACTGTAACATGTCAAAGTTTCGTTTTAACATTGTTATTTTGGCACCAACCATTAGAGATGTTACCACTCCACAAAAGAGAGGATACAGATTGGCAGGATTATCAATTTTCAGACCATCAATGCGTCTTTCCTTATTTCATTTAATGGAACATTAACATGCATAATCATAATGAAGCAGCCATTAACATGCTACCAAAATTATACCATCTTTCTTTACTTCCTACCCTTGTAAAGAATTTGATTTCTTCAAAACAATCAGACAAAACTGATACATCAAACAATCATAATCTATAAAATACTAACACTGTTTAGCTCATAGAGATTTATCGTCAAATTTTCAAATTCAGGGTTTGATATATGATTTATCATTCATGGGCATTTGTAAATGAAAAGATGAGACAATAATGAAATGAACCTCAATGAATCCATTATCATGTATTTAAATCATTGATCGAAATACAACCTAAGTCCTGTTAATACAAGAAACAAATATAAAAAAAAACATACACAAACACACATCCAAAAATAATGCTTCCATAGATCCACCCAAAAGTCAGGCATTTTTAAGATCTCCAATTCAGACGTACTATACCATCTGACTTAGGCAGAAAACTTCTTGCCTAGGCAGAGTAGAACGAAGAAATATAGAAACTCAGCCTACTTATAGTTTCAAATTTGCCTTTAACCAAGAACTTTACCACTAGTGACATTGACGAGACATAGTATTAACAAGTCTCGATCGCATTAAAAATTTAACAAGAACTGTACTTTTAACTTAAGACTTGTGCTCACAACGAGATTGCATAAAACACAGTAAAATTTCACATATGTTATCATCATGCCTATTGGGTCAAACTAGGGACCACAGAATTATAATGCTCGCCGAGCCCAAATGCATGCCTATGGTATGATAACATAATACCTGGATTAGACGATCCAGCCCCGCTGTTGGACTTGTACTCCTTCCCCATCTCCACATCGGGGAACGATCCTGAAAATATTTTGATACATTGCTTTAGGCAATGAGTCAAAGCACCAAGCTCTAGTTGTCCTCCCCATGCTGCTGTCGACTCTACTTCTCTACAGTAATCCTCAAACCTCTGCGTAAGCGAATTGTCAGAATATTCACCATCTGTCATATTCTCCGAGAGGAAAAATGGGAGAAAATCAGATGCATGTTTCCTCATATAAGCAGCCACCATTTCTCTAAGCTCTTGGTAAGTATAAGGAGAAGAGCCTCCCGAGAGAAGGGCCAGCTGGTCCTCAACGGCTCGGTACATGCAATGCCCATCTGGCTTTATTTCATTGATTGTCAATCCGAGGGGTTCAAGCTTTTTTTCCAACTTTTTGTTTTCAATAATACGATCACTGACAATGTTGCTCTGCTCTTCTTGTATTTTCTGTTCTCTGGCCGCTTCTTGCTGAGCTCTTTTTTCACGCCTCTTAACGCTCTTACTAGGCTTTGAATGTTCAGCTTGATTGGTAACAGAAACCCCAGCTATAGCCTTCACCAGATTGTCGAGGTTTCCCTTATTATTGCCATCATTACTACTGCTATAGCCCAAAGAAGCAAGTTCCTCAGCATGTCTTTCTTTGAGATTTGCAGAAAGTTGAGAGACCTCTTCTTCCACTTGTTTCTTCTTAGCTTTCTGTTCAGCCTTACTACCTTTAGCTGCTGCCTTCTTCAGTGCAATTTCTTTGTCCTGCAGCTGGGAAATTTCTTTCCTGCACGTGTGATAAAATCATTATCAAAGAACAAAAAAAAAAAGGAAAGGAAAAGTCAAAATTAAATAACTCAAGAAGACGAATCGCTAGATCTTGTATAATGTTTATGCTTACAATTTTCTATTTATATTTACAAAAATCTTAGGCACTTGTTATCAATATCTTTACGTGTCACAAAATATTATCACCTTTCTAGATTCCATCAGGCTCAGGTTAGACAGGGATACATTACCTGTGCCTAGATAGCATTTCATCACGAGTTTCTTGGTTCTTCTGAGGCATGTTTTCTGGAATCTCTTCAGACTGCTTTTCCTGTGGTTCTTCAGTGCCCTCCATTTGGGAACCCTGAAAATCAAGGGGCTAATAGAGTAGGAGACACTTTGTGGGTAATGATAATAAATTTATGCTCAATTATAAGAAACACGAAAAAGTGAAATATAACAGTGAACCATTTATTACCCACAGAATAAAATTAAGTATACCTTCATTGCATTTACCGGTCACTTCTAAATGAGTAAGGTATACCTGTGGGGCTCAAGCACTACAGATTCTCTTATAACACTATTATATACCAAACTGTTTGTTTTGTAGGCTGTCAGTTATGATCTCATATTTCATGCTCTCGCCTCGATTGCTTTGCAAGCTTGCTTGGGTCTAAGTTGACTTATTACCTCAAAAAGGAAGAGTGCAGACTATATTTCTATAAGGCTACAATCTTAACTTTGCTATCCATCTAGTTCCATTCAAACATACAAAACGAATGTATTGACATTTTATTAAACACTATTTCTTTCAGTTTTCCATATACAGCAATTTCTATTGATGCAGATTCTGACCATCATGACAATACCAATGAACCACTTTAACAAACAAATGAATGGGTTTACACTATCAAATGTTTAGTTGCGCATCAAACAATATATCATGAACAACCACTTCCAATCGTCAAACTTAAACACATCCAACCCAATTTTCACATAACCACATATTTGCATTTTAATACTTTCTACTATTCCAGATGATGCCAAATATTAGTGTGTCTAGTGTGTCCATTTGTTTCAGTATTTAACACAAATCTCACAACAATGAATATCGGAACATGATGAAAATGGTTAGTTTTTAATTACTAGAACACTTGGAAAGAAAAACTAAATTAAAAATATGAAACTCAGTTATATCTTATAATCAAGGCCAACCCTGAGTCAAATGATTTAGAGAATTTTGTAAGAAAAATTGATGTATATTATTGATTGATATATGTTTATTACAATGATTCATGATTCCTATATATAGAAGAGGGTGAGTGTGTAGTAGGTAAGGAGTAGGTGAAGTGGAGGTGGTAGCGGTGTAGTGGGTTAGGTTTAGCGGAGTAGGTGAGGTGGTAGTGGTGTAGTGGGTTAGGTTTAGTGGAGTAGGTTTAAGTGGGTGAAGTAGGGATAGAGAGAAGAGAGAAGATAAAGAGAGAAAATGGAGGAGCAAGAGATAGAGAGAGAGAAGAGGGAAGATGAAGAACATGTTATTGATTTTTTGAAACTATAAGGCCTATGCTATTCTATTCAGCTGCTATCACTAAACCATTTTATTTGTGTGTCTATTTATATATTGTTTGAAAATAATAATAATAATAAGTGTGGTCATTATCTATTTGACTTGGTTAGAATATGTATATATATATAATAGTTAGTGATTGATTTTTTGTAAAATATAAAGTCATTAATTATTAAAATAAAATGTAAAAAACTCAGTTTATAGTGATTTAAAAATATGAAATATATTGAATCATACTTAAAAATTTACAAAAATTGATCAATATTTATTTTTAACCCAATAAATATGATCATGGAAAAAAAAATACGTATCGGTAAGTTTTTTTCAAATTGTGCGAAAAATAAAAAATTCACAATTCCGATTACCGCAACCGTTACACTATGGCCTTTACACCCCGCAACCGCAACCGCGTCACCGCCACCGTTACGGCGACCGCAACCGCTTTTCAGAACCTTGCTAGAACGCTTACAATACAAAGTTCAATTTTTACACTTGGAAAGAAAAACTAAATTAAAAATATGAAACTCAGTTATATCTTATAATCAAGGCCAACCCTGAGTCAAATGATACCACATTTAGAGAATTTTTTAAGCCAACGTCAACCAAAGATTAAAGGTACACTTCAGGTTACTTTGGGAGTTTTAAAGTTTTACTGGCAAATCTTAAAAAACTGCGCGGGACCGCGGGGGGGGAGGGGTGGACGAACAAACAAACAAACAAACAAGAGTGTTTAAACCTCACATTGATCAATTCCATGTTTAATTAATTCGTAAAAATAAAAAGCATAGCTCAACATTTTATCATGTAGACCCACTTGAAAAAAAGACTTAAATTTTCAAATAGGCTAAGAAATCATAAGAAAATAACTAGGGTTTCAGTAGCATAACTTTGACATCAACAACAACAAACAAAATGAAACACTAAAATGGGCCATACAAATTTAACATTTCTAGAAACTCAACATTGCTTAAAGTGCTAATTCATTCCAAATTAACTCAAAAATATATATATATATATATATATCATGTAAGGGAAACATGAACAAAACAACTAAACAAAGAATCTGATACAACATTTATTATCAATCCCATATGCTAGTCATATACGAATAATGAATTTAGAGAGAGAGACCTGAAGAGGAAAGCACGATTGTTCGGCCAAAAGAGACGAGCAATGTTGTATTAAAAATTTTCAAAAACTCTAGCAGTCTAGCATTACACTTTGCATTATGTAGAAGAGTAATAGATCGCCTGGTTTATGTTTAAATTTTAGAAAGGTGGTTTAACCCAATCTCACTTCTCTGATTGGGTTTTATTTTATTATATATGGGTTTCAACAATTGAAGTTACTTTGACTGAACCAGTTCGTTGGTCGCACAAACCGGTCTTTTTTTTTTCTTTTTTTATTAGTTGCTTTATGGGTGTGAAATCGGCCAGCAGTGAACCCAAAGCTTGCCCGCTGTCCAAAGTGGCCCAACCCACCATCGGGCCTAACGGGCTCTCGCCAAAATCGGGCCGGGTGGGGTCTGCCCACTTGCGCAAAATCATGCCCCAGGTCCAAGCCTAAGCCTAAGCCTAAGCCCAAGCCCAGGGAGTACTCAGTCTTAGGCGGGCCGGGCCACCTGGGCTCGGGCTTGGATCTAGCCTGACCCTTTTTTATTTTTTTTTTACGAAAATTTTATTTTTTCTCCACAAAAATAGCTTGGGAATGATAGTGGGCCTCGAGAGAGCCAGGAGGGCCGGGCCTTAGAGTGGGCCTTGAGTAGGCTAGTGTGCCAGGCTCTAGGTCGGGCCAAGCCCCAAAACACACGGCTCAAGAAAAATCGGGCCGGGTGGGGTTGGCCCACTTGCACAAAATCATAGCCCAAGCCCAGGAAGTACTCGGTCTTAGGCGGGCCGGGCCACCTGAGCTTGTGCTTGGGTCGGGCCTGACCCTTTTTTTATTTTTTTTACTAAAATTTTATTTTTTCTCCACAAAAATAGCTTGGGAATGATAGTGGGCCTCGGGAGGGCCAGGTGGGCCGGGCCTTAGAGTGGACCTTGAGTAGGCTGGTGTGCCAGGCTCCAGGTCGGGTCAAGCCCCAAAACACACGGCTCAAGCCCAAGGTCACAGGTTGGGCTCAAGCTTGGGGGGGCTGGGCCGCTCCAGACCACTGGCAAGCTTCGGGAGGGCTGCGAGCTTGTGGGCCAATTTTACAACCCTAAAACAACTAATAAGAAAAGAAAAAAAGACCGATTTGTATGACCAAGCACATGAACCGGTTCAATCAAAATTACTTTTAGTGTTGAAACCCATATCATAAAATATAACCTGATCAGAGAAGTGAGATTGGGTTAAACCACCATTCTAAAATTTAAACATGAGCCGAGTGATTTATTAGTTTTCTATATAATGCAAAGGGTAATGCTAGACTGCTAGGGTTTTTGAAAAATTTTAATACAGCTCAATTGCTTCTCCCTTTTGGCCGAACAATCATGCTTTCCTTTGTAGGTCTCTCTCTCTAAATTCATTATAGCATATGGGATTGATAACAAGTGTTGTATCAGATTCTTTGTTTAGTTGTTCTGTTCATGCTTCTCTACTTATCTATGAAGCATGGGTACTTCGAAAAATATGTTGTACCCGTACCGAGTACTTACCGACAAATGGTACCTTGTACGGTACTTCTACATACATACTGGATACACGAAACACATCCAAATTTTTTCTTCTTAATTTTTGACGTACCCAGATGTATCTATTATAAAACCAAGCCATACTGTACCTCAGTTGAAATAATATGTTCTTCTACTATAGAGATAAAACTCCTTTCAGTAGACTTCTTTATTTTTAGTTTTATGCTTTGCATGTTTTTAAAATTAAACTATGGTTTGTAAGTAATTTAATATATTGATATTTAATTTGATTTATATCTTTACTTTTGGCATTAAATGTTAATTGTAAGTTGAATATTAACAAATTAAACCATTTAATTAATTTTTGCATTACTCTAAATTAAAAATATATAATTTTTTTACAAGCGTATCAAGCCTTACACGTACCCTACTTTTTTTCAAATTTTACCGTATCGGCGTACTCATATTGTACCAGTACTCGTACCCATACCTATGCTTCATAGCTAATTATATGATAAATTTTTTTTTTTTTTGGGGTATTTTGCTTCTAATTCTATTTGAGTTAATTTATTTAGAATGAATTAGGACTTTAAGCAATGTTGAATTTCTGCAAATGTTAAATTTGTATGGCCCAATTTAGTGTTCCGTTTTGTTTGTTGTTGTTGATGTCGAAGTTATGCTACTGAAACCCTAGTTATTTTCTTAGGAATTCATAGCCTATTTTAAAATTTCAGGCTTTTTTCAAGTGGATCAGCATGATAAAATGTTTAGCTATGCTTTTTATTCTTACGAATTAATTAAACATGGAATTGATCAATGTAGGGTTTAAACACTACAAATTTTTTTTTTTTTCTTTTTCTTCAGCTTATTATGGTTTGCCAATAAAACTTTAAAAACTTAATAACCTGAAGTGTACCTTTAACTGATTCCCATTTAATCTTTGGTTGTTGTGGGCTTAAGAATTTCTCTAAATGTGATATCATTTGACTCAGGGTTGGCCTTGGTTATGAGATATAACTGACTTTCACATTTTTAATTTAGTTTTTCTTTCCAAAAAACTAACCATTTTCACCATGTTCTAACAACCATTGTTGTGAGATTTATGTTGAACACTGAAACAAATGGACACACTAAACACACTAATATCTGGCATCATTTGGAATAGCAGAAAGTATTAAAATGCAAATATGTGGTTATGTGAAAATTGGGTTGGATGTGTTTTAACTTTGACGATTGGAAGTAGTTGTTCATGACATATTGTTTGATGTGCCACTAAACATTTGATAGTGTAAACCCATTCATTTGTTTGTTAAAGTGGTTCATTAGTATTTTAATGATAGTTAGAATCTACATCAATAGAAATTGCTGCATATGGAAAACTCAAAGAATTAGGCTGTGTTTGGAACGATTTCCAACGTTGATTCTACCCCTACGTTCCAATATGTGTTTGGATAGAGCTTTGGAACTAATTTTCCACAACTCTACAAAAAACTCTCTGTGAGGCGCAATTTTCAAAAAAAAAAAAATTTAATTTGGCATAACCGGACGTCCTACCGGATGTCCCACCGATCGTTAAGCCAGTTGACCGGAATAGTGAAATTTTTTTTTTTTTTTACATTTTAATTTTCATATATTCGAAAAAAATATTTTCCGAATTTAAAAAAAAAATTATGTGTTTTAATAGAATTTTAAGTTGTATGTTTGGTTATGAGTTGTAAATTTTTGTATCAAATATCAAATGTCACATCAAAAATTTCCCACTTAATTCAAAACTCTTTTCAAAACTCTTTTACCAAACAAATTTTTCACACTCAAATCATAATTCCAAAACTCACAAACTCAAAATACAACTGCTACTATCAAATCATAGTTAGAAAGTTCTATCAAACGCAACCTTAGTGTTTAATGAAATGCCAATACATTCGTTTTGTATGTTAGAACGGACCTAGATGGATAGCAAAGTTAAGATTGGCAGTTCTAACGAGATCATGAGCCTCCATATCCAAGGCAAGCTAGTCCAATTGCTCAAAAATGCTAAAGCTATATTTATTTAGGATGCCAAACTAGTACATATTTTCGGTTTTGCAGTGAATGAGAATAGGCGTTGTTTAGCTAGTTTTTACATCTCGAGCCTCTTTTTATGTGTAGAGGTTTGATGAGAAAAACTTCTTGTGTTTTTAAGGTGTATTTTTCCTTTTTGTTGTACTAAATCATTAATGTCATACTTAGTTTATTTATAACTACTATATCTTGAACATAATCCATCAGCAGACACAAAGAATGGGAATTTAAATCTAAGTTAGCAATCTTAAGGGTCGAGATGCACAATCTATGATGCACGGACACGGACACGGGACACGACACGGACACGGAAAAATGCAAATTTTCAAAAATAGGGGACACGACACGCTGGGGACACGTTTAATATATATAATTTTATTTATTTATTATATGTAAATTTGAAAAATATAAATATTATTTATTTATTTTAATATCAAATATTATTCACAAATTAAAATTTTTTTATAAATAAAAATAATTTATTTAAACAAATAATAATATCTAAAAAATAGAAAAAAGGAAAAGAAAAAAAAAAGAAAAAAAAAGATGTTTATTCAAATATATATCTAGTATATAATATATATACTAATAATAATAGTATATATATGTATATGTCGATGGTCAAACGAGGGCGCCAAAAATTTTAGCGAGAGAGAGAGAGCAGAGAGGGCGATCGATGGTCGATCGATGGTCAATCGATGGTCAAACGAGGGCGATCGATGGTCAATTGATGGTTGATCGAGGGCGCCGAAACACCATAGCGAGAGAGAGAGAGCAGAGAGGGAGACAACACAGACGAGGAAGACGAGGAAGACGACACCTGATCAAAGAACATACCTGATCTAGGGCTCCATTTCAACAGGTTCTTCACCCTCTCTCTCTCTCTCTGTGTCTACAACAGGTTAGGGTTTCTCTCTCTCTCTGTCTACAACAGGTTAGGGTTTCTCTCCCTCTCTGTCCATAACGTGTCCACAGCGTGTCCAACAGTGTCCAAACGAGTGTCTAGCTGCAAAAATTCAAAAAAAAAAAGGGACACGTAGGGTAGAGTGTCGAACACGTGTCAACCGCGTGTCCGACGCATGTCCGTGTCCGTGTCGGACACCCAAACGTTGCCTTAGGAGACGTGTCTGTGCTACATAGTGCACAATGCAACCAAACAATAGGACCTGATTAATCAACCAGATCCTCCATATTCACTTCAATTCAACCCCTCCAAAAATAATGCCACTGCGTTTGAGCCATAATGATCACAATATGGCCCCCAAAAAAAAAAATCTGCCAAAGATTGCAAATTGCAAAGATGAACCCAATTCATTCCCCACCACCTCACAATTAGGGGTGTGCGCGGTGTAAGTCGGTGCAGTTTAGGAGTAAAATAGAAATCGCATGGTGGGTGGCGGATTAATAAATGTGTCATTAGAAATTGTCATTTTTTTAATCAAAAATCGGCGGTTCAGTTGGCAAATAATGGTGGTTTTGGCTTGACGGTTTGGACGGATTGGCGGTTTATAAAAAACACACAAGTCAAATTATAAAACTTGAATTAAAGAGTAAAAATATCTAATTTATAAATTCACTAAAATAGTCAAAATTAAAATAGATGTTCATTCCTCTAATCTAACATTAAACATTAGCAAACTAGTAAACTAAAAATCCAACAATCCAAGCAAATTATACAATAACAATTTAACAAAGCAATAAATACTATTTATCAACACACAAAAAAGGGCAATAAATACTAAAAAAAATATTATGCATCGCTTGCATTTCCCTCGTCCATTATCTATTACAAAATACAAATCTTTTATAAATTAATTTTCAACAATATTACGCACTCAGAAAGGCAAAATCAAAGAACCACCCAAGAGAGCTCTCAATGTAAATACATGACCAAAGGGTTTAAATTCTACAGACCCGAATCAAAAACCACAAAATCACTCAAACCCAGAATGACGAGGCTGTGAATCGAAGAAATGGGAACGACCCAGATCACAAAAACCACATGCAACACAAAACCCACAAAGAGTAGTGATTACGAAAGCAGCATTGGTTTGAAATGTGAAATTCCGGGCCATGAAAACCATAGACATTGATCCAGAGAAGCTGAAGAAGGGTTCATGGTCGAAAATGGAGTCCGAAAAATCAGTCTTATATATATATACTCTACACAGAACACAAAGAGAGACACTACAAATAAACCTATCGATGCATCGTGGGATAAAGAGAGTGCTACATACCAGCGGCGGCGAGCGAAGAGCACCTGCGGCGGGTGGAGAACCAGCGCCCGAAAGCCTAACGGCGGTGAAAGCAAGGCTAGTGGCGCGGTGGCGCCGATCGGCAAGGTAAGGAAGAAGAGCAGGAAGGGAGACGAAATAGATGAATGAAAGATGTTTTGGGGGCGTGAATTAGGGCTGTTTGAGAATTGATTGTGTGTGGGCGAGTGTGTGTACATTTATTTTGATAGATTTAATCCAATGGTTTCAGGTCAGTTGATCTGGCGGGTTGGCTTTTATAAATCGGAACCTACGCCGACCCTCCCATCTTTGACCCCTTTTCGGCCCACCAGAAGTGAAAAATTGTGCGTTTCGATGTGGTTTTGATGTTATTGAAATTGCACCATAACAGTAAATGACACACATTGTGGCTGTTTGAAAAGTTATTATTTTAATAGGTTATTTTAATTTTTGATTATTTTAATAGATTAAAATTTTTATATTTGAAAAGATAATTGGTTATTTTTTATAGTGGGATATAGGGGTGTTCGCGGATCGGTTTTGTACGGTTTGTGGTTCGGTTTTGACCCGCCCGCATCTATGCGGTTTGGGAAAAAGTCAACCCGCAACCGCCCGCAGTGCGGTTTGCGATTTGTGCAGATAGGGTTTGCAAATGTGCGGGCGGTTGCGGGCGGTTTGCGGTTTACACTTTTTTTCTTTAAAAATTAATTTTCGAGTTTTTTTTTCCCAGCGAATTTAGGCATCAAATTCATTTTATATATTTGTGATAACAATTTTTTGATGAGTTTACAAATAAAAGTTGAATATCAATGCATTAAATGAAAGTACCCAAAACAAAGAGACCCTACACTAGCATTTTTGCTATGAAAAAAATGTATATCAATGCATTAAAGGTTGTACTCAATTAGAATTGGCAGTTCAGTAATCAATAATCAAACTATAAGTTCCATCGACCATTAGAAGGAAAATTTTATTAGGAAAAAGTGGATGGATCACCAATGAAAATCATATAAGAAACCAAGTTTAGGACTTGATAATTCTACGGCATTAAGAAAGTTGAGAAATACTTAAAAATAAGGATCCTATAGTGTCATAGATAATGTAATGGTGCTCTTGTAAAAGTTATAAAGTTGATATATAAAAAGTAAAAATAATAATAATAATAATAATAATTAAAGTGTGGGCGGTTTTTGCGGGTTGCGGGTTTAAACCGCGACCCGCCCGCAACCCGCAAATTTGTCATATTTCAAACCGCATCCGCCCGCATTATGTTTGCGAAACCGCCCATTTATATGCGGATTGGGCGGTTTGAGCAGTTCGGATAAACCGTTGTCCACCCCTAGTGGGATATGATATTTGTGAGAAAAAAAGTGAAATAATTATGAATTTGATGTGATATTTTATCTTATTAACTATTTTAGACTTGGTTTGGCATATATTGAAAAAGATAAAAAATAAAAAAGTTATTAAAAAAGTTAAAAAGTTATTACTATTTATCAAAAAAATATATAAAAAAAACAAATTACACAGGTGCCAAGTACAAGCATACACAATGGTGAAGTAATGTCAGTGATGACCAAGTACAAGCCATACATATTGAAGTGATGGTCAGTGGTACAAATTTACAACGTGGGGTGCACAAAAAAATTAACCCGGAATGGTGTTGTTCGGCTCGTAGGGGCCATCACGGGTCCCATTTTGATAATCTGAACCGTTCAATGTGTAGAACTCGTCAAGTACTATATAATATAAAAAATCACGTTAATCGGATATATCTAACTACATAATCAAATCTGTTTTGTACAAAAAAAAATGAATGGTGTTATAGTTAATGATTGACAAAAAAATAATCCGATCAGATAGCTATCGATATCCGATCAACTTGATTTTTTACAAGCATATAGCACTCGGTTCCGATTAGAAAAATGGGACCCGTGGTGGGTCCCCACGTGCCGAACAACACTGTCCAATTCAATACTCGAAAAGGAGGCAAACATCTCCTATACTACCCTGCAAACCGTGCTGCCTACCGTACATCCTACAATGCACAAATTTCTCCTATATACTAATTTATATAATTTTTTAATACATATTTTTTGGTAAAAAGTCAAAAAGTTAACCCAAACAATCATCTTTTCTTCCTCAATTTTTTAGTCCAAAAAGTCAAAATGTGTACTTATTTAAGATATCTCAAACAACCCCTTAATCTATTTTATCTTTTTATGAATTTTAACCTAAATAAGGCTAAAATCTTACTTCCTAAACAGAATTATGAACAAATCAAATTGTTAAAATAAAATCCACAATGGGCCTACCAACAATGAACTGGACAGTCAACTTCATCAAGCTCATAATATACCAAGAAGATCTAGAACAACACTGAAAGTAGTTTATCCCTTGTAACAGATTATGATATATATATATATATGGGTGTTGATTTTTGACCATACAATTAAATAAGAAAACTTAGCAAGAGAGCACAGGTAGAATAGATTGAGCCCGAACAACCTGTTGCAGAAAAGATAATAATTCGACGGTGGTTCATCCACCTGAGGACACTCCGATGATCAAGTCAGTAATCAATTTCTCTCAAAGATAACAATTAGTACTTAACTCACTAGACAGAGCGTAAAAAGCATACCTTAAACCCACGATGGTGCCCTACTTTTATAGTCAGCACTAACTTGATCCCTGTAGAAGTCTAGCTTTAATGGACTTTTGTTCAATGCTCATCTTGTACTCCCAGTTAGATAAAGATAAACTCCCTAAGAACTTTGTCTATATCCAAACTGAGATCCTCCCCTGTTCTCGGACTCTTGTCACTTATCCGCTCATCTCGGATTCCGATATCTCCAAAGATAATCTCGGCCTAACTAAGATCATCTCGCACATAACCAAGTCACGTAGCACTCTGGCTGACACGTCGACGTAACTTCGGTCACGTGCTGTCATTCACAAAATATACCCCCACAATATATATGAGATTTAAAGAATAAATGAGAGATTTTGGAAGGAAAAAATGAGCATTAAAAGAACAGTTTTTTGAGGAATTAAAAATGAGTCACTAATGTCTTGTAAATCATTTGTCTCCTTCACACAACTTTGTTTAACATTGTGACATGTCAAAGTTTAGTTTTAACATTGTTATTTTGGCACCAACCATTAGAGATGTTACAACTCCACAAATGAAAGGATACAGATAAGCAGGATTATCAATTTTCAGACCATCAATGCATCTGTCAAAGTTTAGTTTTAACATTGTTATTTTGGCGCCAACCATTAGAGATGTTACAACTCCACAAATGAGAGGATATAGATAGGCAGAATTATCAATTTTCAAACTATCAATGCATCTGTTCTTATCATCTAATGGAACATTAACATGCATAATCATAATGAAGCAACCATTAATATGCTACCAAAATTAGCCCATCTTTCTTTACTTGCTACCCTCGTAAAGAATTTGATTTCTTCAAAACAATAAGATAAAACTGATACTTCAAACAATTATAATCTATAAAATACTAGCACTCTGTTTAGCTCATAGAGATTCATGGGCATTTGTAAATGCAAAGATAAGAATGAAATGAATCCATTATCATGTATTTGAATCATTGATCGAAATCTAACCTAAGTCCTGTTAAATACAAGAAAGAAACAAATATATATAAAAAAAAGCATACACAAACACACATCCAAAAATAATACTTCCATAGATCAACTCAAAAGTCAGGCATTTTTAAGATCTCCAATCCAAACATACTTCAGCATCTAACTTGAGTACAAAACTTCTGGTCTAGGCTCGATAGAATGAAGAAATATAGAAACTAAGCCTACTTATACTTTCAAATATGCCTTAACTAAGAACTTTACCACTAATGACATTGACGAGATATTTTAACATTATAATGTGTTACAGATTATTTTGTGTTAGCAGATATTTTAATATTATAATGTGTTATAGATTATTTTGTGTGCTTAGGCTCCAAGCAACTTGTTCTCCAAGCTACCTTTTTTTTCCTCTAAGAAAATTTTCTTTCCCTCTAAGTTCTCTTTTCTTTTCCTCCAAGTATTCTTGCCCACCAAGTAACTCTTGTCTTTTCTTTTCCTCAAAGTCTTCTTGCCTACCAAGTCAACCCTTTTCTTGCCCACCAAGTTTCCTCTCCTATAAATTGAGCTAACCTCTTATCTTGAAAAAGTGAGAAGAAGTGTTTGTTATTTTATTATTTTTGTATGAGATTATCAGGCAAAGAAATAAATGGTGTATGTGATAAAACTTTGGGTTCAACCAATTGTGCAGTATTGGTGAACCATACGACTTAGTTGGACTGTTGTATCCTGGTGGGGACAAGTCAAGGTTTTTTCTGCTGCACCAGTGTGAGACTTTGCCTAACCGTAGAGGGCTTGAATCTCCTTAAAGATAGCGAATTTCACGCGCCTCAGCCCTTTCAATATTTATTGTAATTTTCATTATTTATATTTTTTGGTGTTTTATTTGTAATTATCACCAACAATTTTAAGGAGATTCAAACAGTAAAATTCATAGAGCCAGTATTGGAGAAGCCCAACGAGAATACAAGCGATCTCAATAAGCCTTTCCGGTTCAAGGGAGCCCATTTCAAGAGATTGAAAGGTAAGGTGCTTTTCTACATCAGTCTCCTCAAAGTGGCCTATATCCTAACCGAGAAAAATCCGAACAAAGTCTCCACTGAAGAAATGACCGACGAGGAGTATGTCACTCATCTTGAAAAAATCGAGAAATACAACACAAATGAGTATAAATGTCAGTATTATCTTTTGAATTGTCTTTTAGATCAATTTTATGATTATTGTGATACTACTTACACCACTGTCAAGAAAATTTGGAAAGCCTTGCACAATAAATATGACACTAAAGAGGCATGCGCTAAAAAATCTGCGGCAAGCTATTTTTTTCGCTATCAGATGATAGATAGAAAATCACTGATGGAGCAAGTTCGAAATTTTCAAATGCTAGTGGATGAAGTTAGATCCGAAGGCATCAAAATTAAAGACAATCTTGTTGTGGCAGGTATTATTAACAAACTACCATCATCTTGGAGGGAGTTTCAGAAGTCAATGCGTCACAAACAAAAAGAGACATCCTTGGAGACTCTAATCATACGGATTCGAGTGGAGGAGGAAGCATGAGGACAAGAT